GATGTTGCAGACAGCCTGGGCACCCACACAGAGACTTGCCACAGAGACGGAGTTCCACTGTCTACAGCAGTGTTGTGGGAGGGGGCCAGCCTCTGGAGGCCCTGGAACTGCAGGGCTGTCAGTGTGCACCCATAGCCTGGGACAACTGCAGGTTCAAGACTCCAGCTGTGAGAGCGGTCAGTGGACTGAGCACAGCAAAGCACAGTGACTGGGACCACCCGCCCCAATCTTCCTTATTTCTCCCTTCTAAAATGGAACTGAACAGCTTACTCCTGCTCCTTCACTGCACTTTGCAAGTGTGTGGATTCCTGACTGCACAGGCTCACAGCTGGGGAAAACATCTGACTCTCTCACCTGCATCTGGAAGTGTAAGGATTTCTGACTGCACAGGCTCACAGCTGGGGAAGGCTGAGTGTCACATATGTGTCAGGAGGTGTCCTGGTCTCTGACTGCACAGGCTCACAGCTGGGGAAGGCTGACTGTCACATCTGTGTCAGGAAGTGTGCTGGTCCCTGACTGCACAGGTTCACAGCTGGAGAAGGCTGGCTGACTCACCTGTGTCTAATTGAGACAGAGCCCTGCAATTTGAAGATCTTCCTCATTCAAGAGGAGGCTTTGACTCATGCAAGGTAAGACAAGGATCAGGCAATTCTTTAGAAACTTCCAAATAGCCAGGACTGGTGATACACACGTGGAATTTCAGCATTTGGAAGCTAAGGAAGCAGGAGCTCAAGTCAAGTCTATTCAGGCTACAAAGTCAGATGTTACAAAACAAATTGGCTGAGATATTTGAGGATTTTCTTATTTTCTTCTGAGACATTTAGGGATCTTTTTACTTCCTTCCTCCCTCCCTCCCTCCCTCCCTCCCTCCCTCCCTCCCTCCCTCCATTCCTTCCTCCCTTTCTTTGTAACAGATACCAGAAGACAGACTAGAGTGCTGTCCTTCCCTGACGTTTTGGTCAAACAGAGTCTCTTCTGTGCTGCTGTGTCTGCCCTGCTGGCTGTGCTGTCAGAAGCTGGGGCTTCTCCTCTCTCCACATCCCCTCACCTTGAGAGAACTTTGAATACAGAGGTGGCCAGCGCTCCCCAGTGCTCATGCGCTTCTGGAGATTCAGGCTCAGTCACTGCTAGTGCTTCACCCATGGAGCCATCGTCTTCCCAGCCCTACTTGAGAATTTCCGAAGAGGATCTCCAAAAGCATTGAAAACATAATCTCATGCAACTGAACTTCTCTTGACTTTGCATCTCTCCCTTATGTGACAAGGTTATCCAAGAGTCTGGTTTTCAGAGAGTAATTCCTTATGAAGGGAGATCATTTCAGCAGATACTTACTTTTGATTTTCCAAATCTCTAGAGAACCTTTAAAAAGTGAGGATCTGACTTGCAACAAGTTTTCAGAAAACTGACCTGGCTTAAGTTAAACACCACTTTTACAAGTCAGTCAGGGCAACAGGACACACAAATGTAGAAGTAACCATCTTATTAAATAAGAAACACAGAGCTAATGTAAAGATGAAAGCCCAAGAGCAAATGGCTAATTACAGAATCCGTTTTTTCAGAACTCAAAGCAGTTGCCCATTGAAATCCTGAATAAGTATTGATGGTATGGTGTACATATTTCAATTTTCCAAATTCTGCAAAGTGAAACACGTCCATCTGCCAGATCTCATTCCTCTGAGCACCCTTTGGGTTACATCCTGCTGGGAATGGTGTTTGCTTGTAGAAGGAACAAGTAGGACATTTCTTTACTATTTCTTTGGCTTGTTGCCAGGTTATGGAAAAATCCTTTTTTAAACCTTTACTATTGACATGATG